GGCCCAGAATACATGGATGACAATCTGCTGTTGGTTTGGGATTGATTGGGTGATGTGACTTGGGTGTCAAAGTAGAGAACTAGGGCCATATTCATTAAATCTTAGTAAGCTAGTTGTGAACTAATTAACATAGTTAGTTGACATCTAGGCTCAGTAAGGTTTGTGAATTTGAGCCCAGATTTCCTCAATCCAGGAGTTGGGGGGGGGGGGGTGGATGCCCTTGGTCTGATGGCAATATAGAGTTCGACTAGAGGTGGAAAGACCGAGAACGAGCTATTATTATTATTATTAAGACTCCAGTATTTGCGCCTCACCTTGGATCATAACTGAAGTCCTCATGAATTAAACATATCATACGTCAACCAGAAAAGTCTTGATCCTCTTTAATGACGCATGCGGGTCTATGACAGGGGAAGATGAGATGCCAAATTGACTTAGAATTGACATAGCTGTGCATTGAGAGATAGAATGCTGAAGTACAGACAGCTTGCTGTTTCTTAAACTTTAAGATGATAAGCTGAATAAGATGTATGGTTTGTTGAGAGTCGTAAGGGCTTTTATTCCTTGTTCAAAGCTAGGAGTTACAGCCTTTCTGGCTCTCAACGGATGGTTCGTAATTGAAGGACAGGTGAGGTGAGATTACCTGCTAGGTTTAATATTTGTCATGCAACATGGGTAGTATAAGGTGCGTCAGAGTTCTAGCAAATGCAGGTCATTGTCTGCTATTTTTAAAAGAGACTACATGACATCTCACCATACTACCAGACTATAGGGTACATGGTAATACTAGGTGGTCACTACAGGGTATGTCAATAAACATGACAGGTGAATACCTGATCTAGAGGATAGTCAGTACAGGGTGTCTCAAGATTCTGCTATGATTGGAAACATGCTGTGCAAGAAATGTCCAAATTATAGTTATACATGTATGAAACCATCCTTGACTTAAATGAATACAAAATCAGAAAAAAGAGGGTTCCATATACTGGTTCTCTAATATTAAGAAATTACAATTTTCAGCCTTCAGTAGTCTTTAATCTATAGTCTTCAGTGGGCAGTGGCTGTAACAGAACAAATCAGTGACATAAAAGTAGTAATTTTCATCTGACATTTGTCATTCTAGCCATGTATATTTCATCAAGGGCCATCAAGACACAATAATTGTATGTTTGAAACAAGAGTATTTATGAAATCAACATTACTTTTGTAATGCCCATGACCATATACTCTGACCCCTTGCAATTGCAATCTAAAATCAAATTGTGTATGCTTCTACAGCTGATAGTTGAAAGGGATTAATCATAATCCAAATGAAGTTGGATTCCCCAAGATTAATTTTCAATTATATAGTAGAGTACAGCTAAAGCTTATTATCCAGTTCAAAACAAAAACTACTAAGGCTCTTTCCTAAGAACAAAAAAGAAGAAACATGTTATTAAAATATATTCTTTTGTTCGCTATGCTTTGGATTTCCGCTACAACTGTTTGATATTCATAAAGAGGATTTCCCTTGAAGTGAGTTGAGTAGTTTATTTTTAGAAGCATATTATTGCGGCAGAAATTAATTTAGTACTTCACCCGGAGGGAGTGTGCTCTGGAAAAACAGTATGCCCATGACCATACGCTCTGACCCCTTCTTTCCACCTAATGCTCTGTATCACAGGGTTGTCGGCTTTCTGCAGAAAAGGACACTACCACCACTGAGCGTTAATGGCTAATGTCCTTTTAGCATTGATATGACAGTAGTTTGCAGACACAAACCCTTGTCAGGTGTTGTGTGTGCCAGTGTCTGCGCTATGAGACTACAATATGCTCTGTACTTCAGTCACTCCTGATAAGGTCTTATTTGACAGTTGACACATCTAGTGACTGACGTATCTAGGCTCTGCTCAAGACTCTAGAAATTGTGGTAAAGTGTCAGATTTGAGTCTGTGCTTGCAGACTAAGATGATGGGGTGTACTATTCTAAATCTGATTTTGTCATCTGTGAGTTTAATGGCGCAGAACTTATGTTGATTTAGTAGTGCACCTATTACCAGATACTTTGCATTTAGTATTGGCATGATGAATATTGTTTATATTCCTGAAAATGGAAGTTGATATTTTATCTGTCTAAAGGATTCAATTATTTTACAAATTATATTATACAAATGGGGCATTGATACTTAATCTAGAAATGTTTGATTTGCAAAGCTTCTGAATTACATTTAGTACGTCATTTATCTTTCCTCTTATTTGATAAATAGGGAGATATTCACAAATGATTAAGTTGGCCACTACTGGACTACAACTGGAAATAAAAGGAAATAATCGGGAAAGATCAAAGTCATTTTGCATTCTAAATTTGTTCTAATAGACTGGGATGTTATTCAGTGAGTTATAAGGAAAGTAATCAAGAGGGTTGTATATTTATAGAGAACGTCAACAATTCACAATCTCCTTAATTCAATGAGAAATTGTGAAAAAATAAGACTTTGAAACAAAGTGACTGCTATCAAAATTTAGAATAATGAAATTTGCTGAATTAATTTCACCCAAATCAAGGAAAAGAGTAGAAACACATTATTACTATTAAAGGAAGTCTTGCTTAAGGAAAATAGCAAATTATGCATTTCAGGAGATCGGTTAAGCATCCCACACTTTGATGTAAAGACAGTGATTGTGTAGCAACGACTATGAGAGATTAAGTCCAACTTGAGGCTAAATTGCAATCACCTATCCATCAAGGTGCTTGTATTTAGACAGTAATCTTTGGTAGATGGTATAGTAGAGTGTTCATCAAGGTAGTCTCGGGGCTTTGTGACTCACAGCTACTTCAAAGGTACAGTCACAGTCAGTAGACCCTTTTTACTTCCTGTTTGCTTTGTAGGTGAAAATGGAGAGTTAAACCAATCACCACCTGAGAACCAGAAGGGCTTTAACTCGATGTATCCTGCTAGTGTAGTTAACATCCTTCTTGCTCTGATCAGACATATGAAAGAAATTAGACTGGAAATGGTATTGACCCTGATAACATAGCATTCAATGCTATATGCAATGCTTTGCAGGAAACAATTAGGGGAGGCAGAGATCATAAGCTGAGAGCCATAGGGTGTTAACTCTATGTAAAGTGTAATTAGTTAATGCCCTTCTTGCATGTTTTAGACAGTAATCTTTGGTAGATGGTAAAATAGAGGGCTCATCAAGGTAGTCTTGGGGCTTTTGTGACTCACAGCCACTTCATAGGTACAGTCACATTCATTAGCTCTTTGTTTGTATGTTTGTTATGGAGGTGAAAGGGGAAAGTTGGACCAATTGTTTGCTGAGAGCAGAAGGGTGTTCGCTCTATGTAAATTGGTCATAGTTGATGTCTTTCTGCCTCTCAGTAGGCAGTAGGGCGTTTTAGCAACGAGACGGAAAGCACAGGAGACGGAGTGTTTAACCAACTGTGAAGGGTCTCGCAAAGGGCCCCCAAAGTAGGCCTAAACGGCCAAATCATCAATTTATTTACCGAACAGACATTGCAAACACCAGGAGGTCTAGATTCCCTGTTTTTATCTTCAGTAGTCATGGTAGTGCCCTGCATTGTTAGATCTAGATAAAAATCATTTGTCAGCTCTCTCTCTCTTATGTCGTGTTTAGGGAACGAACGCTATGTTGGCCGAGTACCGTTTCGAAATTCGACGGGACGGAGAGATTTCAGGTCCGCGCATACGCAGTTTTTTTTTCGCTCGTGTCACCGTCTCCTGTGCATACCGTCTGGTTACTAAAGCGCCCTAATATGAAGGAAATAACACAGGAGATTGTTTTGACCCTGACAAGTATGCAGTGCTTTTATGCAGGGGACAGTGAAGGAAAGCAGATATCATCAGCTGAGACGCAAAAGGGCAATTCTGTCAAGTGGTCATAGTTCATGTCCTTCTGGCTCTCTGCAGATGATACAGAAGAAATTACCAAGGAAATTGTTTTGACCCCAATAATGAAGTGTTTTATGCAGCACACTGTACTTTATAGAGACAATTAGGGGAGGCAGATATCATCGGCTTAGATCCAGAAGAGCCATTACTTTATGTAAAGTAATATTAGTTAACGTTGTTCTGGCTTACAGCAGATGATATGAAAGAAATTACACATAAAATTGTTTTGACCCTGCATTGATAAGGTGGAGTTCTATGCAGTACGCTGTACTTTACAGTAGACAGTGATTACAGGCAGACATCATCAGCAGAGAGCCAGAAGGGTGTTAATTCCTTGTCAAGCGCTATTAGTTAATTTCCACCTGTCTCTCAAGAGATGACATGAAAGAAATACAAACAGGAAAATTGATTTGACCCTGATAAGGTAGTGTTACATGGAGTGTATTCAACAGGGAAGCCAGAAATCAAGGGATATTGAGTATCTGCTCCAGAGAAACAATATTGTCTGTTTGGAGCTAGAAGGGCGCTAACTCTGCATCTAAGTTTATGGGTTGAAGCTCTTCTGGCTTCAAACAGACTAATTATGTAGATTCAATTTTTTACATTTTTTTATGTTTAATCCTTATTATATTTTAGTTTCAACACACACACACCTTGCACTGATTTCACTTAAAGATTTACATGTCATGATACATTAATGGTAAAAGTACTGAAAAACTGCTATATGGTATTTTATTCTTGTAATAAAACAACAAAGATGGAGTACTGCATTGAGGACTGGAGGATCAAGGTTCAAATCCCAGCTGTGGCACAAAATTCCCCTCGGTAATCATACGCTGCTTACCTGGTTTCCAGTGGGCTCCGTCTTACGAAGACTTGCGATTGATCCAAATCAATCGCAAGTCCTCCAATCAATCGCAACTTTGCAGTCTCCTATCTCCTTTGTACATAGTTGCGATCGATATCAATCGCAAATAAGTTGTCAGGAAAGTTGAAAAACTTCAAGATTTTCTTTCAGGTATAGGGTGTATAAAAAGAAAAACCTTGAAGATTATCGGAAATATTTCATGCATTCATACTGTGTATTTTGTTGTGACCCCACAGGAAGTGATGACGAGTCGATCACCAGTGAGAAGGACGAGAAGATCAAACTGATGATGTCTGAGGAAGAACAAAGGATCGCTGACATGGGAAAACCAATGCTTGGCGAGATCAGAATTCTGGAGGTCAAAATCCATGAGAGCACAGAATTCAAGGTAAGACTAGGTATTAAAGAGTGTCCGTCAATGTGGATGAGATGAGATGAACATAGCAAATGCTTTGATGTTTAAAAATTAGGTTTCTAGTAATAGGAGAAAAAGGCATAACAGTGGAAAGATGTGAAAGAGGGGGAGATACAGGAAGAGAGAGAGAGAGAGAAGAGAGAGAAACATATTCATGAAGATAGGGGGTGGAGACGGAGAAGGCAGGTCGCAAAAATAAATTGAAGTCAAGACACAAAAAAACAATCTAATCCTAACCGTAGAGTATTTGGTGAAGTGCCTTTGCCTTGCAGTTACATAACCTTTCATATAGTGGCGATTAGAGAGAATCTGTCCATGCAAATGACGTGACCGGTACTTCAAGAGCACTCCTTTGATTTCTCTTTGAAACATAACATTTTTCTAATGGAGAATAAAAGGGAAGAAAGATGGGGGGGGGGGGAGAAAGGGGATGAGAGAGAGATAATTTTTGGGTGGAAAGGGGCAGATCGCAAAAATATGCAAATAAGTAAAGACACAGAGCGACAGTCAGGTGACATAATTATTTTTCAGATATGAAGAAATCGTCTCCGTTATAAGCCACTTACAAGTACGTGAGACTTTGAAATCTCCAGGAATTGTAACAAAGACGACCATTGCAGAGCCTTTTAAGACATTGGCCTTGAACAATTTCAAAAGACCTATTGAAATGTGTGAATATTTCAATGGCAGATCATATTATCCGAACATGATTCCTTAGGCAACACAATAGGGTATTGAAATCGCCCTTAAGTTGGTTTCTTTGAAGCTCTTTCTGATCGTGTTAAAGTTTCTTAGTGATTCAGAATAAGGAAAGGGCAAGACAGAAAGAGAGGACAGAATGAAGTAGAAGAAGAGAGGGAGGATAGAAGTAAATAGGAAGTAGAATAGAAATGGGGATAGAAGAAAGTATGTGGCAAAAGGATTTTAAGTTTGAAGTTGAGAAAGTGGGAGAGAAAGAGGGATGGAGGGAGGGAGAGAGAGAGAGAGATAAAGGTTGGGAGAGAGAGAGAGAGTGTGTGTGGAGAGGGAAAGAGAGGGAAATAGGGTGAGGGAGAGAGAGAGAGGGAGAGAGATAGAGAGAGAGAGAGAGAGACTTCAACATGAAAAGGCTACTGGTACTTACACTTATAATTTACCAAAATACATTCATATCTACTTGAGACGATGACTCAGAATGTAGTCAAGCTATTGAACAAGGTTGATAGTACATGTATCTCAATTAAAATGGTTGTGGTGATTCATGATATCTAGAAAATGGGGACATACAATCACAAACTTCCCAAATGCAAGGTTCAAATCTTCATTTTTACACCCAAAACAGCAACTACAATGGAGTATAACCTTGGTTGGTTGGTTTGATATACATGTGAACATAACAAATATGCAAATTTATTATTGAAAAATGCAGCTGGATTGCTCTCTTCTTGTTTGTTTGAAGGAAGTAGATGTTCTTTAAATAGAATAGAATTGAATTATTCATAGCGATTTACATTATTGGTCTGTTCTTCATCGCTTCATACCTGCATATCAAGTGTCAGAATATCAAATCTACTGAAAAGACAATGTCTGAATGACCTTGAACTTGAAATGATAAAGGAAGTATGCATGCTGGGCTAGAATTTTAAGAGTAGACATTTAATGTGAATATTCTCTTTGCTCCACTGCAGCTTTGATAACGATGTCTACAGAAGAAAAATATTGCTCTATCATTGTGAAGTAAAAAAGCTTCATTAGAAGATTATCAGCAAGCACAACACATCTCTTCCTTATTATTCTACTTAATTTTAAAGCATCTTCCGACTTGAATGTTTGTGCTGATTTTTCCCCTCTCTTTCCAGTCTCCTTCCTCCGTCAATGCAATGACTTATAGAGCTCTTCTCCTTTTCTACCATACCTATCCATCAAAGCAGCAGAGTTGCTCTTTCTTCTCACATTTCTAGATGAAAATCACCTCAGCTTTTTTCTTCTTCCACCAAAAAATACAATGAATATTTTAAAATGGTCAGCGTAGAGGATATGCAAAGCGTTATCGCCACCCATGAGTATCTTCAGTGTGGCCTTTTACATCACATTATGACGCAAGCGCTTTATAAATTTTAAATAAATTTATTGATGAATTCTTAATCGCATCTTTGCCAGTGAGCTCTGTTTTGTTTGCTTTGAACTGAATACAGAATGAGGCAATGCATTAATTCTGGGGCTTCTGTTCAAGTAGGGGGGAATTGGAAGGTATTTACCCTTTCACTTACCTGCATTAACAGGAGAGTGTAATTCAGCGTGATAGATCGACTTATTTGTACAATTAGTGTACTTCAATCAAGAATATACTCTTTTGATGGTTAGTTTGTTTTTGCAATAATGGTTGGCCATTTTGTGCTTACCATTTGCTTGCAGAGGAGGCATAGGGTTTTGAAGTGTGGCAACCCTATAACTTGCCCTAGGCTTTCCTTACCTAGCAATAACATATATACAATTATGGTTCCTCACCCTTTATATGCGCATGAGCTGTTTTAATTTGCATATAGCATGTTTATCATGCATTTAAATTTAAAGATGGAAACAGGTGAAATAAGAAAAAAAAATATAATTGATCAGATATATCACACAACCTAAATATACAATCTTAATGTAATATTTGCTTTGAGAAAATCTACATAGCTACATGCATAGAGGTTGATAATAGGTTAAGAAAATCATTGACTATGCTTTCTTGCCCATAAAAAATCCAGTGGTGTTCACATTCAAAGGTCATGAAGAATGATGCAGTTATAACCTTATTTGTGTCGTCGATGGTAAGAGAGTGTGGAAGGAGACAGTTGTCATGGTAACTTGTGACTCATAGTTTTGACAAAGCTCTTGGTAACCTGTAGAATAGAAAATAGACAGATGTGCACTTTGAGCCATTTGTCAATGTAGCTAGTAACAGCACAGGGACTTAGCTCAAGTGTTGCAGAGAAAGCATTTTTTGGCATCTGTCCTATCTCTCTAGAATGAATGCTCATCCACTGAATATTTTATTTGGTAATATCTTGAGGGATATCTAAATCAATTGTTATTTTTTACCTCTTGCCATCAAATGACAAGCAAACATTCATTTGTAAGAAATATGAAATGAAAATGCAAGTGATTTATATTTTATTTAAGAGATGATTGTGACATTTTTCTGTTTGCATTTGCTCAAGAGATATAGAAATACTAGAAATCAAAATATCAATTAGCAAGAAAGACCTGAGAAAGGCAACAGGAGTGGATAAAATACATCTTTTCCATACTAAAACGTTATAAATTTAGATGTGTGCAATGTGAACTTTTAAAGTTTTTTTTGTTGTGTGTGATAGATTAACAGTTTACTTTCATTTCTACTTTTCAAATGTTGAATAGTTTCAAATATGTAATTCAGACCCCTTTCTTGTGATTTTAAAACAAGTGTTTCATAAAAATCCATCAAGTTTTTAAAGCCCTTTGTCACCTTAGTATGCTTGTATATATTGATTCAACAGTAGTGTTAAGCGAACGGTTTTCAAAATTTGTAATTCTAATCATTAATATCTTGATAATCACACAGGCGATCGGCTTGTAAAAATTATGGAGTTCCTGACTGACCTAAAGGTTTATAATTATCATTGCAGCATGAGCTAAATCAAGGATTATTTCTAAAGGATCTAAGACAAAGTTACCGGATCCCTTTAATACAATATTATATGCATGCAATTACTTCTATATTAAGTATATAATCCTTTTAAATTGAAAAATAACGTATAAAATAAGAGAGAAAGGGAGAATCTAGCAAGAGAGATAATAAGTGGAAGGGAAGGTAAAAAAAAGGGAGAGTGAAACAAAAAGTGAGAAGGAGAAAGAGATATAGCAAAGATAAATATTTAAAAAAAGCAAAATTCTGTTGTTCATGTGAGAGAACCTCGACCAAATGAACTTTTCTCACTCGACCACAAATCCCAAACATAGAGAGAAGGGGAGAGAGAGGAAGGGGGAGAGGAAGAGAGAGAGAGAGAGAGAGAGAGAGAGAGAGAGAAAGAGAGAGAGAGAGTGAGAGAGAGAGAGAGATTTCTGTGTGCACCGCCTTCTCCAATTTAGCATGCACCAATGGCAGAGGTGGTCATCCATACCAGTGTGTACACGACCAATGGCTTGGCGTCTCTTTCCTCACCCGCAAATCAACTGAATTAAATAGCACTCATTGCTTAGATCTCACACCCATCCCACATCACTTTGGTTCCGTCATCATCGGAGGATGTAGATCATGGCCGGGGTCCATCTGCCATGTTGATCAGGCTGTAGTAAATCCCTACCACTTGGCCGTATAGCTTTCAAGTGTGCAAGTGTCTGTCCCTCTTTATTTCATGTTGGGTCCAAGTCATTACTATGTGGTTTGCAGTAATGGATGTGAGGATATACAGGTGTATGTGCAGAACTGAAACAGAATTGTACCAAAATTATTTGAACTATGATGAAGATATGTGCATGCACAATGATAATGTGCAGTTAACAACTGAATAATACATACTCTTTTTTTCTTCGTAATAAAATGGAACAAAAATAGTCAATTTTGTAAGAAATACCATATAATTTATTTTTTTGCATGTGTAAAATATTTAGGGATGCATTATGCAAGCTGCTTTTTCAATATCATACAAGTATGGCTGGTCATCTTAAAATCAGCGTCACTCGTGTATTGTATCAGTTAAACACACCTGTTCTAGATTTTCTCATCAATATCAGTTTACCTAATTGACACCTAGGGGAGCAATATTGCAATTTTTTTTCATTAAACATATCGTTTTCATCATCGTCCGACCGTGGTCTGTGTTTACTTTCAATCCCGACGGCTAAATAACAGCAGGTGTGCTTGTGTGTGTGTGAGTGTGTTGGATAATATGTGCATGATTCTGGGGTATCTTGCAAAGTGTTTTTCATACACCATTTATCTGTGCAGATTCACACTTTACAATGCATCT